CTCGCCGCCCGGCCCGCCCGCCTCGCAGCCACACGTCTTCCGCGCGCCCAACTCCGGCTCCCCGGGCAGCAAGGCCATCACAGGTACCAACTGCCTTTCTGCCAGCAGCTTCCTCAGCTGCTGAGTGCCCAGTCCTGCTGCGGGTTGACTTTAGGTCCTGCAGATGACACCAAGTTGGGTGGAATGGATCTGCTGGAGGGTACAGAGAGACCTGGACAGATTCATCAATGGGCTGAGGACAACTGCAGGAGGGTCAATAAGGCTCAGTGCTGGTCCTGCCCTTGGGACATAACAGTCCCACACAGCTCCAGGCTGGGAGAGGAGTGGGTGGGAAGGGCACAGGAAGCCCAGGCAGATGGATTAAACCAGTCTTTTCTTATTGCCAGACTTGGCAAAAAAAAAAAAGGCCCAAAAAGATCAGGAATGAGGGCAGACGCACCATGCAGATTTGGAGCTCTGTAGCTCACTTCCACTTGTGACACAAGCCAGGATTTGAACCTGGGTCTCCTGGGGATGGGTTGACCCAATCCATTTGCTCCTGGTCTCTTCTCCCACTGATTTTCTAGTTATTTAAGGCCTCTCATTCCTGTCATTTCATCTGTCAAGGGAGGTGAATAGATAACATCTCCAGTCCTGTTATATGTGACTGTTTTATGCTATGCTTCAGCCCTGTTACATGTGATTTGATTACCAAGTTTTCTTGTTCTCCTGCATTTTAGAAGGAGTCAGGAATGTAATAAATTGAGAGTCCGAGAGGCCTGCTCAGGACTTGGAAGTGCCCACTGAGGATCCATGGGCTGGAGCTTCATGTAGCTCACATCAGCCCCAAGGCCCATGTGTGTGAGGGGCAGAGCAGCACTGGGGGCTGCAGGCAGCTGGGACCTCTCTGAAGGCCCTGGCAGCAGTTGTGGCCACTCCAGTGGTCCTCAGAACTCCAGGATGCAATCATGATCTCATAACAGTTTTGGACAGTCTCCATCTCCTCTGAATGAGAGACTTCTGCCCCCTACACCCCTCTGCATGGCAAGATCCCAGCAGAGCCAGGCCAGGCCATGTCCACATTAACCACTTGAGTGACAGTGCACCCAGGAATGAGTCTGTGCAGGGGAAGGGTCTGTCCAGCACAGACCACACACTTCAGTTTGGCCAGTTCACATGTTACTCATTTCTAGTTTATCTTTCTGTCACTGCAGTAAATCCATTAGCCCTGTTGAGGTGAGATGAGACCTCACATGGTGCTGTTGAGCTTGTGCTGAGGGACACCAGCCTGAGCAGGATGGGAGGCCCCTGAGCTGTGCTGGGCAGTGTGTTTCAGAACAACCCTGGCAGTGTTCTTAGCCAGGTTGGCTAAAGCCTTGAGCAACCTCTTGTGATGGGAGGTGTCCCTGCCCAGGGCAGGGGGTTGGGGCTGGATGAGCTCTAAGCTGCATTCCAGCCCCTTAACATACTATGATGACACTGTGGCCATTGCCAGGGTCAGGAACCACCTGTGCCCACTGGAAGACACCTCCCAGTACAGTTCCTGGGAAGCTGCACTGTGCTGTGGCTGATGTGTGTGGAGCGAGAGCCCTGCCAGGAGCAGGGACTGGCAGCACACTGTGCTGGAGCAGGACCTCTCTGCTTGGCCCTGGGGAGGGATGCAGAAGCCAGTTCACTGCTGGGAAGCACAGGGTGCCAGAGGATCTTCCCTAGGTTTCCCAGACATGGGCAGGCTCTGAGCCAGCCCTCAGGCCTCCAGTTAACCTTTCCAGGAGGGTGTTTAGGAAGGCAATGCAAATGTCTAGGAGCACAGGGAGAGCTGGCACTGTGCTCCTGTAGGTGACACTTAGGTGTGGTGATGAGGACCCAAATTGTCTGCAGGTCTGGTCGCCTGTGCCAGAGGCTTTAAGGGCTGCTTGTTGCCTTAAGGAAGAGTAAGGTAAGGGTTGGGTTTTTTGCAGGGGAGGAAGCCATGACCTTTCTGGTTCAGTCAGGACTGGTGTTCATGAGCTCCCTAAGAGCTCAAGAAAATTACCTACCTGTTACCCCTTGACTGAATCTGACCCATTTGCCTCCAAACCATGGTATTTGACCTTTCTGCTGTATTCAGGGTATGATTCTGAGGCACAGGAGCATGTTGTCTGCCTCGTGTCTATGTGGTTCTGCATCCACTGTTGACCAGTCGCCATCCCTGCTTTGTTCTCCACCCAGCAGAAAGTGCTTTCAGCAGAAGAGTGGAAGGCAAAGGGCAAAACAACTTTGAAGAAACAAACAGCAATTCCCAGAACTCCAGTGGTAAGTATGTTCACTCCATCCTGCTGGTGCTACCACCTTGCTCTCCAAGCAGGATTCAGCTGTGCTCAGTGACTGTTGATGTGTTTGGTGTACATTGGTTAAGCTCACAGGCAGCCAACTCTCCTGGGGTAGTGCACTTCTTCCTCCTCCCCAGGCTCCTGGCACTCCAAGCCTGTCAGAAAGGTGAGATGGGAATTCTGCTCCCAAGTACCTTATTATTACCAAGTACCATTTCTGCTCCCAGGTACTTTAGCAGAGATTTTCCAGTGGGGAGCAAAG